TCTGCTGCGCCTGCTAACCTAGGTAAGAAATACAGCCATGTGAAGATACGGAATTCAGAAAGCCCTGGAGCTCTTCTGTTTATTTCCTCGAGCGGTGTAGTGGGGAGAGGGTAGGGTCAAATGGCAGATCGAATCCGGCCGATTGCGCAGTGCACAAGAACTTAGGGCTAGTTTAAACGAACCTTTACACCTGCGGGAAGCATCATTGAGAATACAAAGGCGTCGACGTTGTCAGCGCCAAAGACGGTGTGTCCGTAAGTTGCGGCGACCTCGTCGTGGGTGGCCCAATTGCTGGTAGTGTAGCGAATCGCAACCTGGAAAAGCACGATCTTGCGAGCTGAACATAAACGACTTTCGGCAGGGCCAACCGTCGCGTTCACCCTTTCTAAAAAATTTGCGACCTCCCCCCCCTTTGTAAGAGTCTGATGCGACCTCCCCCCTTTATAAAAGTCTGATACGACCTCCCTATCACCGTTAGCTCAGGGGATCCTCGAATACGAACCCTTCCTCACCACCATCAACCACCACCCCACCATCATGGTTATTTCTTGAATATTTGATTCTGGAACCAGTCGACACATCAACTCCGCCGCCTACTTTTTCCTGAAGCAGCCGTTGAGCAGAGGGGGAAGGAAGGGTGAATAAGCCGCCGCTTTCGTGAAACTTTCGTCACACTCAACGAAAAAATCCGAAAACCCCTCAGATTCAGCCCCTTTACAGTCCCCCTTCACACTTCAAAGGTAGCTAACTTCGCTCAACCCCAGAGTGGGACCCCACGCCTTCCCAAAAAACAAAATGCGGCCCCCCGTTCGACTATTGTGAAGGGACGGTTGACCTGCACTCAAAGAGCAACTTCGTACCTCTTTGGAAAAAGCGATGTTTGCGACGTTGACCTGGCCATTTATGGTGTGACCATGAACGCGTAGCTTCGCCAAACACACCATTTGGTCGCGAGCTCGCTGATTATATTCGGATTCAGAGCAATAAACGAAGTTGGACAGCACAAGGCGATGTCCAGGAGTTGGAGAAGATGGTGGTGTCGGGAAACTGAAACTAATTTTATACTTAATTTTGCTTCGTTATGAAGACCTATGAAGCTATAAGTAACTCCCTAATAACGAAACAAGGAGTAATGAACGTAGCAAATTGCGGAAGAACTCACAGATCTGGATCTTTTTCCGTGAAGTACTGTCGTTTTTCCAAGTCCAAGCCAAGAGCGTCAGCAAAACGCACACGTTTGGCACACGCCTTCGATCTGGAACGGCGTAGAGTCTTGACGGTAAGTTGTCTTCTCACGTCCGGAAAACGCAAATCATCTAGACCTACCTTATATCAGAATCTGCAAGACAAAGCAATATAGGATTTGTAATTACTTCATTAGATTACGCGTTTAATCTCTAGTGCCTAATCGCGGTTTTACGCTTAAAGGCACAACCCAGGCAGAGGTCGTGTGAACTCTTCTTCGGTCAGAAGTATAGAACCCTAGGGGACAATCACAAATGTGGCGTTCACGTGCACGGAATTCGACCGACAAGAACGCTTTGGGCTTGCAAAGTAAGCTGCTCGAGCTGCAGCGAACGAGCTCTCTTATCAGGCCGTTGTCTGGTGCTCTCTCATCTGATGCGCTCTCTCGCCCCATACTCTCCTCTTCGCGCTTAGTCTCTCGTTCCTTTAGCACAGCCAATTAGGAAGGTGAGTGAGCCCTCAACCTGAGCGTTTTCGACGGATTCTTTTCCTTTTTTCTTCACTGCCGGCCCACTTGGCACCGATACATTCACATTCGTGTGCAAGAGCCACACCAGTGCGATCCTGGGGCATGCCTTTAAGGCCTTTGCTACTATGGCGGGTGTCGCTCATTGTTAGCGAATCGCTGGATTCGCAAAGTCTGACAGCGACCTATTTGCAAATTCAGTATCGCGCGACACGCAGGTTTGTGTTTTCTGCGGTGACTGTCTACGTGACATATCACTATTTCCTGTCGTGGATGGCTAAGGCGCGCAAGATCGTGCCGGATCACAAGCACACAATGCCAAGCGCCAGAAAGTGTAGAATCATTTGCTGAGAAGCAAGCGTGGACATGCTAGGCGCTCAAGCATAGCTTGAGCGCATAGACCAGTGTGTTCAACATAAGCCTAAGCCTAAGCAGCTAATCCAAGCTTCAACAAAAGAAAATGATCGCCAAGCTCTCTGTGACCTGAACTCTGAAGGAGAACTGAACGTCTCCCGGATTAACTTTGGAGGAGGAAAGGGCTTCGTGGTGAGTGAGCAGTGTAGCAAAAGCTTAGTGCGTTAGATTACAATGGTCATGAGGCACTGATTAAACGAGATGGTGCAGACGACAGCAACAAAATTAGGCACTCAAGGACTGAATTTACAGCCCTAGACCCTTTCTGGGTCTTCAAGCATCGAGCAACGTAATTTTATCCTCTAACGAACTAATCGGCATGTGTCAGTATGTCCTCGATTCGCGACGCTCAATGTGACCTCGGCGATCTTGCGACTCCGATACTGGTACACTGTACCTTAGATCATCAGTTCCGGATCTGCAATTTTCTTCTTTCCCAGGTAACCTATCAGCTGCAAAAAATCTTTAGCCATGCTGCCCACATGCCGTTTCCGATCTTGAAAATGTACTCTTGTTTACGATTTGCATGAGGATGTACTGAATTCCTCATCGAAACATATTCTGAGCAACAAGTGACGAACTAACTTTGTGCTCGACAGTAATCGTTCTATTTTTCACGGAATATCATGCCCTTTACATGAGCAAAACATCTTTTTATAAGCTGTGGCTGAGATGATAAGTCCTTCTTGAATGCTTGCAAAAACTGATTTCTTCCACCGCTACAAACACTAAACATGAAAGATGACAGCGGACTACGGTAAAGCCCGGCAGTACACCCTACGATACTTTGGTCTCGAAAAAAATCGCAAAAGGATTGTTTTTGAATCAAAAATTGGAGTTTCTGAACACTTTCACAAGAGGATCCATTCTTGAGATGGGAAATGTTCCACACGTCTCAGACTTATGTCTGGGTCATTTGTAACCCTGGTGCGCTCTCGTCTCGTATGTGTTGACCAACGTCACCCATGAAAACTACTAATGCGTAACTCGACCAGGGAATTAGCACTTCTTCAAAACAAATACGTCTGCGGAGAGGGGGAGATAAATGGCCCGAGTACGCACTGAGTAGTAGCGTGGTAAACAAACAATTAATAATCATCAATTTCCAGCACACAAGAACTGGATCCTTCTCACGCATGCGCGATCTGGCGACAGCGCCACGACGTGAATAGACCAGAGTGAGCGTCGTCGCCTCAGTTCATGGTCACCGCTTATTCAACTGATCAAACTACTCGCGTTTCATTTCCGCAGAGCACGTGCTCTGAACGAAAAGGTCCGTCTAGATAAAAGGTCATGTCGCCAAGCAGCCATAGATCCCACTTATTGTTCCCAGAACTGGTAAATTATCCCAAAGGCGATGATCTGGAACGTTCAAGAACGATATTCAAGGAAGATTTATGCATCCGTTGCTGACGGCTACCATTAAGTCAGTGATACGCTCCCACGGCCGAATGCGCTGCTCCGGTTCTCAAAGGTAAAAGGTCAAATCTCCGGAGTTTCTACGAAATGCACCAGGATGTCAAGTTGAATTTGATTGCTGCTTAAATTAGTTGTTCGTTCTCAGCAGTTTTAGGAAGGATCAAAAGCACAGTACCTGCGTGAGAGAGGCGACACATTCTCGTCGGATGAGAAACCCGAGTCCGGCGACGGCGGCTCACTGTCTGTTGGGTTACTGTAGCACGGTGATGGTGGATCGTACTGCAAGAACACCATTTAGACAATCTCATCCTCCAATTGTAATGAATTGAATCAATGGCACTGGATAAAATGGAAGGAAATCTATTGCCATAACGCTACAGTTTGGCGAGGCTTGGAAATCATCTATTAACGGGGATGAGAAGTGCTGTGTTACCCTAAGGGCAAGGGAATGGCAGATGTGGCATTTTGAGCTCCGAGGAAGGTGAAATGGTAGTTGAAGGGAGACCCCCACTTGCTATTGGTGCTCGCTGGAGACAGCATAACTGGTAATCTCAAGAGCTTCCGTGGTGAGGTGTTCGGGATTTCTTTCGTTCTTAATTAACTAGAACTGGATCAAGGGAAGACATGGCCTGGTCCTTAATTACCCTATACACCGATCTCATCAAAGTTGATGAGATGGTGCGGTCGGTAGTACCCCGTTTATGATGGCCGTAAGGAGAAAGCGCCTAAGCACTGAATTGGACTTACCGAGCATAGCTTTTCATTGCCTGTGTTCAGTTTGAGCTCCAACTTCTTCCGCTGCGAATCTACTGGTGCAGCGTAGGGTGGTTCATACTGGTGAGCATCGGCAGTTGCAACCGAGTTGCAACCGAAGATGTTTCCATCGACGTCGTTCAGTAAGAGAGTTGTGCTTTTGAGCTCAGTCTCTTCACGACAGGGGCTGCACAGAGGCAACTCGCCAACGGTCTGAAATCAGTCTACTCTTTCGAGATGTACGGGGCGGAGAAATAATGACGTTATATCTCATAAACAAGAGCGAAGCCATCGGAATCAAAAAAGTCGACGAAATGATGAGAAGGGCATTGCACGGAAAACGTGTACTTTTCATACTTCAAAGCATACTGTGAGGAGACGAAGCGAATGACATCATCGTCTAAGCTGTCAAAGCAGTTGTGAGGAAAGCAACTGATATCGAGAAGGTTCGTGCAACATCAGCTGTTACACACCCAATCCAAATAGAAAACCTGGCAACGTTCACGTACACAACTCGTGTTAGTCGAGGTAAGCATGCAGGAATGCGAGCAACATCGGCGTCTGCGACGACCTGCCACACATGTGCACGCAGATATCGCCTGCCGAAAGACGAGCAGCCGCGTAGCAGACTTGTAGCTCTGCAAGATGGCACGTGCTTCGCAATTACTCTGAACGACCAGTTCACCTGCCATGTACGAGATAAGCCAAGTGATATACAGATAGTGGAGTGACTGGTGAATGAAATACGCATAGCTTTCAAGATGGTACGGTGCAAAGATACCCTCTGAATTTTATCACAATCCTAGATTATGTTCGAAATGCTGTTATGGACAGGAACAGAACCTCTTATTTTCCGAGCAGCTGCCCTACTGTTCACCCCACTAAGGCACCTCGACCCAGCTTTTTCACTTACCAACGCGATCCAGTACTCACACCTGCAACCTTATGACCCGGTTGATTACCATTGGCAGTGAACTACGAACCTACAAAGAAGGTCCTTTCAGGACATGGAGCGCTTTTTCAAAATGGTTTCTGCATGTTGTAGGGGCTCATGCGAGGAACACAGAACCATGATCCATTTTTCCTGAACGCCTCCAGGAATGTCAAAACAGTGGTGAAGAAATGGTCCAGAGTTCGATCCCCGGTGATGACTAATTTTTGCAATATAGTTTGGCGCCCCAGATTGCCGCCAAATGGCGCCATCGTCGAGAATAGATGTCATTGTCGTGTTTTGCGGCAATTTGGAGGCGCCAACATAAATTGCAAAAATTTGTCATCACGGGGATCGAACTTTGGACCATTTCTTCCCCGCTGTTTTGACACTCCTGGGAGCTTGCTTTTTGTTAGTTAACTGCTGCTTTGGCTGCAGTTCGCCTTGCGAATGTAGTGTAGCGAGGTCCCGCCTGGGGCTAACGTTTTGTTCACAACCCAGCATTCTTGTGAACCTCCTGGGGCGTTCAGGGAAAATGGACCATGGTTCTGTATCCATAACAAAAGCCCCTACAACATTCAGAAATCATTTCGAAAAAAGCTCTCCATGGCCTAAAAGACCCCCCCCCCTCTCACGAGAGCTCTAGCAGATCAACGATTTGAAGATTTTTTTCTAATTAGGCGATGTTTTTGACCGCAGCTCTCCATCAAAAACTATTATAATGCAACCTAAATTTACTCTTCCAATTCACTTAGAGCCCTGAAGGATTTTTCTCAGGAAGTTCATAAAATGAATAAGAGACACTTGAAGTTTTCTGGAACCACGGTACAATGCAGCGACATAAAGTTGCATACTAAATGCTATGAAGAGGTACCTATCCTTCCAAAACTCCCAGACATAGGAGATTCGGTGATCGAGCCTAGCGCAGGAGTCAGAAGTGAAGAGAAAAAGAAAA